TTCCCAGGACCAAACGGCAAACAGACAATGTTAGCGACTAGCTAGTGAACACAGTGGAGCATTTACCAAATAAAAAGGCAGACATTTCCCTCAGATGTTAGTGGACAGCAAAATAGCACTAAAGGGAGAGTAAATATCGGACTGGTAACTAGGTGACTAGACTCACAATGAATGCTAATGCGGCTCTGTGTATGTTGGATATGTATATAAGCTGTTTGCTTCACTAACTGTAAATTATGTTGACGTCAATGTTGTGTTTAAAGCTTGTTCTGCTGCCCCCAGGTTTCCAGAAAAATCTATTACACTGCTTTAAAAGTTGATTTGGCACATATTGTAAAGAGTGGTGGTACCTTAGCATTACATGAATTCTTCATGAATGGTTCTTTACACTGGCTGGTTCTTCTATTGATATAGGCCTAATATGTTTCTATAGTTTATGTTTTTGTGCACTAGACAGCAGCCAGGTGAGTACAGTTAGTGTCTTTAGAAAGGGAATTACAGAGAAGTGAGGTGGATTGAATTAGAGACCCTAAGAGGATGATAGGAGTCATGCTGGGGCCGGGTCTGCCTCTTATAAAACCACTTACACTTAACAACTGCTTGCTTTTACAAGGAGATACTGTGGTAGCCTAATTCCCAGTACATCTCACCCAGACATGTACAGTACATTAACAGGAGTCAACTCTTAATCACAGATTTACAGCCCGCCAAAGACGATTCGCGCCGCAGTTTGTTCTGCGATGCTAATGAACACATCCGCGTCCTCGCCTCTTGCCTTCCATCCGTCTCTGCCAACTTGTCATCTCACACTGTTTCCTGTCATCCCTCTGTCCATCCCTCTGTCCCCCTCATCATTCATCGTTCCTTCTTCTCATTTCTTGCCCACCGCTCTCTCCCTCTGTCATTTCAATCCATCTTTCTTGCCTTCTTGCCCTGTACCACACGAGTCAGACACAACGGAGGGATTCAGCTCCTACTATGGGCTTGTTTACACGCACATGATTCCTTCAAGCATATCGGATCAAGTGAGTGTGCACTTACAGTATGAGAGAAAAGAAAAGGGAAGACGGTGAGAGCTAGAGTGTGGCTTTGTGCATGCTGGTGTTTTAATGTATTCTAAAATGTCTTTAAAAGATGATAAACATAATGCATTACAATCTAGAAGATTGTAGCTTTTGGCATAATCTTTGCTGATTGAGGTGTTGTTTACGCTCTGCACACTTCCAAGAAATCATTTGGAAATCAGAGTGTGATACTGTGATGTCTTTTCCCATAAATTTTGTATTCTTTGCCTGCTCAGAAACTGTGCTTACACTAACTACAAACCACTGGTGCTTTGGCTGGAAACATAAACTACATCACTTCCTGTGCATTAGACAATCTTCCCAGAGAAATCTGTCCTCAAATTAAATGTTTTCGGACAAAAAAAACTTTCCTGGACTTGGTCAGCTTGTACCAAATTTACCAAAGACACTTGCATAAAAAAGTCAGTGAATACTAATTTAATTTGTCAGATTCAAATAAAGACCATCATATTTTTATGTATACAGAGCCAACTTATACATCTTAGTGCTTGTGTAAGTGTTACAGAGAATTAAAGACTCCATCAGTGACTTGGGGGGGAAAAATAGGTCAACTAGAAGCAGGCAGGCAGAGTGGAAAGGATGGTGGGGGGGGGAGAGGCATTTCTCAGCGACAGACTGCCATACAGTATATAGACTATTCATGAATAAGCTCTGTGTAAGCCTTGGGCACTGCTGTGGCCCCGTTACTATGGCGTCCATGGTGAGGGGCCGAGGAATGTGGCCTTACTGGGCAACGGAGATGGAGAGGGAGGGAGGGAGGGAGGAGATCTGGAGAGGGGTCTTTGCTTTGGACTACTTTAGTCACTGGTCACATCTCCACCTTTTAGCCTGAGCACAGCCTCTGTCGCTTTCTCCTCTCTCTGCTCTCTCTGTCTCTCATTGTCCCTCTAAGTCTCTCTGAGCTCCATTCATCTTCACACGTCCTGCTTCTCTCCCTGAATCTCTCTCTCCCTCTGCATCGAATCTCTGACCCTGTCACTATACCTTCATCCTCACCTGCTCTCGCTTTCATCTCAGATCTCACACCTGAGTCCCTGCACAGCGCAAATTTTTCTATTGGCAGTGTGTGTGTGCACGCGCGTGGTGCTGTGGCTATACTTCCTGCTGGTTTACCATCTGTTGCTCTTGTCAGCTGACTGGATGAACCCGTGCCTCTGACGCCTCTGATCTGCGTCTGTGCACACGTATGTGTATCACTTTACATAAAAACCACTGTCTGGATAAAAAAAACACAGCGTTTCGACCTCTTCTGGTCTTTTGGTATCATTGTGAGTCACAACAAGATGAGAAACAGCGGTCTCATCCCTGTGCCTGCCTCTAACTCTGGCCTTTCCCACTCGAGTGAAACGTGCACCATCGATACAGGTGCTGCCGGGGTTGATGTGCGACACCAGCAGATGTCGCAGAGAGCCGACAAGGCATAAGAAAAGAGAATGAGAGAGAAAGAGAAGAGAGAGAGAGAAAAAGTGGAAAGCGGAAAGACGCCAGAGCAAACATGAAAAGCCACTTCTCTCTCCAGTCTACTTCCCACTCAGTTCTGTTTGTCTCTTTGTATCTGTGTGTGTGTGT